CTCTCCGTTCAGGGCGGCTGGTTCTGAGATGGAGAGTGCTCTGTGGACTATAGAGCTGATTACCGAATTCTTTTGGGCGGGGTGATGGTGGGAGTTTGCGTGGAGGTATCGGTCCGTGTGCGTTGGTTTGCGGTAGACGTTGTGGCTTAGGGTGCCGTCTTCGTTCCTTCGGACCAGGACATCCAGGAAGGGGATTTGGGAATTCTGTTCGGTCTCCATTGTGAATTGGATGTTGGGATGTTGGTAGTTGATGAAAGTGAGGAATTGAGGTAGAGTTTCCCTTCCGTGGTTCCAGATGACGAAGGTGTCGTCCACGTATCGGAACCATGTGGAGGGTTTTTGTGGGGCCTTCTTCAGGATTTCATTCTCGAAGTGTTCCACAAAGATGTTTGCGATGATGGGTGATATCGGGGATCCCATTGCTGCTCCCGTGGTTTGTTCGTAGAATTCTCCTTCGAACTGGAAATAGGTGGAGTTGAGGTAGTGTTCTATTAATGGGAACAGGGTGGATGGAATCTCTTTGGATGTTCTGATGATGTCCAGAGTGTCTTGGACTGGGACGTTGGTGAACAGAGAAACCACGTCGAAGCTTACCAGGATGTCGTTGGGCTCGGTTTTGATCTTGGTTATTCTGTTCACGAAGTCCGTTGAGTTCCTGATGTGGGAGTCGTTGAGGCCGGTAAGTTTTTGGAGGGGTTTGGTGAGGTAGCGGGCTAGTTGGTAGGTGGGGCCCCCGATGTTGCTGACGATAGGCCGTAGGGGGACTGATTCTTTGTGAATCTTCGGAAGGCCGTATAGTCTGGGTGCTGAGCTGTCGCTGGGGGTCAGGTATTTCGTGGTTAGCGGGGGGAGGTTCGCCTTTTTGATCAGGGAGGCGGTTTTCTTCTCTACGCTAGTGGTTGGATCGCGTTTTAGTTTTTTGTAGACTTGGGCGTCGGACAGCAAGGTGTTGACTTTGTTGTGGTAGTCTCTTTTGTCCATCACCACTGTTGCGTTGCCTTTGTCCGCCGGTAGAATGAGGATGTCGTCATTCTGTCTTAGGCTTCGAAGCGCTAATCGTTCTTCCCTGTTAATGTTTTGGATGGGAAGTTTGGCTTTTCGGAGGATCTGGGTTGACTGCTGTCTGATGTTGTTTCCTGCTTCAGGTGGGAGTTGGAAGATGGCGGTTTCTATTTGGCTGATGATCTCTTCTGTCGGGATCCTGCAGGGGGTGACTGCAAAGTTGGTCCTTTGGCAAGGATGGCTGTTTCGGCGGGTGAAAGGGTCTGACTACTAAGGTTCTTTACTGTCAGGGGAGGAGCTGCTGTTTGCGTGTGTGGTTTCATTTTTGCAAATTTTTCTTTTTGTGTTTTGGTTCTTAATTCTGCCGAGCGGGTGGCTTGCTCGTGTGTAATCCGGTCTATGGTTTGCCACAGGTCCGGTTCTAGTTTTTAAAAAAACCGTCAGCCGGGATTGGCTGACCCCCCTCCCTCTGACCACGCCCTCCCCCTGACTACCCCCTCCCTTCCCCCAAGAACGAGTATAAAAGGACGAGCGCAACGCGAGGGAGCTCAGTATCAGAGTCTCCCAGCCCAGATGAAGCAGACTGCAACGCCTGCGAAACGTCGGCACTACACTGCAAACGGACGCGGCAACCATCTGGAAGCCATGAAGACTAATATTTCTACAAGGTTACTGAAACATTGTCGGCGAAATATTACAATTGAATGCCTCTGAATCGTCTCTGCAATATTACATTACAATTTGCAATGTTGCAATGTTTCTGAAAGGTTTGGTGCTGTATAGGTGCCCACGGCCCTTGCAATTCACGAAGTTCGCGGTTAGTCGTACCGCGTACCACTATCGCCCCCCGCTATCGCCTCCGCCATAAAGCGTATTGCTGTCATTGCTGTCATCCTGATCGCAACGTCCGCTATCTTTTCCTGATTTCCTGATTCCAACTTTTTCAAAACCTAATCCCACGGTATTTTCTTTCTGATTTTCATTATTATAATTTCTATTCTCTTAGTTCTTCTTTTCGTACTTTTGTGTTCATATTTCTGTAATTTTGTTCTTAATTGTTCTAGTTCTTTCTTGGTTACTTTCCGCATTTTTGTTCATATTTCTGTCATTTTGTTCTTAATTGTTCTAGTTCTTTCTTGGTTAGTTTCCGCATTTTTGTTCATATTTCTGTCATTTTGTTCCTAATTGTTCTACTTCTTTCTTCATTCTTTTTCGCAATCTTTTCCTCATTCTTATTTCTTAGTTTCTTCTATCCTAGTTTCTCTTTTTCTTTCTGTCCCTTGTTTTTCTGTTTTTCGTTTTCATTTTTCCTATTTATTATTTCAATATGGAAACATGCAATAAATTGAAATCATCACCACGAAAATTTGTAGTAGCTTGGCTTAGCGATGAACGTTATAAGTCTTGGATAAGCCAAGTTTCATCTGACGATACATTATACAATTGCAATATATGTAAAAAGAATTTTTCGTGTGGTTCATTGCATGTTTCCAGACACGTGGATTCTGTGTCATAAAAATAATATCCAAAAAAATATAAATAACAAAACCAATAACAAAAAATTTAGACAACAATGGTTAGACATAAAAAAATTTCAACCATGGTTACGTGAAATACCAAATGACAGTTATTCATTCGTTACGTCCAGTGGACTTCACGATTTCTTTCTTTCTAAAAATAGCACTGCGACCGATCCCTCAATAGCAAGACAGTAAGGAAATGAGAGGTTGTCGACCCACGAGAGGTCACAGCTGCACGATAAACTATTCCCTTTCATTTTTATGACTTAACAATCTCCCATTTTTACGATCTAACAATCTTCCCTTTTTACAATCTAACCATCTTTCCTTTTTACGATCTAACAATCTTCGTTTCTACGAACTAACAATCCTCGTTTCTACGAACTAACAATCCTTCTTCATTTTTATGATCTGTCAAACTCTCAGAACCCACGATGACAAGTGGAATGAGACCTCCTAATGGACAAATTCCATTAACGTCACCATATTACGAACTACAGCCGCGCTCTAGAAGAGATAATTAAACTTACTTTATTAGTAACCGATATGAGGACTGGTACCCTTTGTCACAAAAAAACAGGCGACAATCGGGCGCCACCGAATCCCCACTAGAAAATAAGTTAGAAAATTGTTGCTCCGATCCACCAATAAGCGCCAGCCAAATCAGCGTATTCAACCCTCTCCCAACGAAAAATAGGGTATATATACCCTGATTCCGCGGAGAAAAGGGCACTTAACTTCTCGAGTAAACATAAATCGGTGACACAAGTCGTGTGAGAGTCATCACAAGGAAGACGACAACCTCTTCGTCCATCGAGAACTGAACTCTTCGTCCATCGAGAACTGAACTCTTCGTCCATCGAGAACTGAACTCTTCGCCCATCGAGACTTCCCGAAACCTTCCACGGGTGCCCTGACATCGGCCCTACAGAGGAAGGCGACGAATTCCTATCTCCACGACCGGTCACAGAACCTAATATCAACTACGAGTAAGTCCTCTTTTCTCCACCACTAAAGCGAGGCCTAGTACTTAGTATATAAGTAACCCCCTTACAACTAGAAGATTCATTTGATCCGCGATTAACACTTTAAAACTCCACCTTACAGTGGACTTATTCAACCTTCCGGAAGAAGTTGCCATCGACCCCACGTTGTTCGACCAGGATTTTGTCTTAGACTTCCTACTCCCTACACCTTACCACCTTCCCCCCTCTCCCCCTACCACGATCGACTCTCTATCTCCTTCATACTCCCCGGAGCCTTATCCGGCCTCTTTCCCTGCGAACTCTCCCCCTGCATCACCGACGAGCTCCACGTCAAGCGTGGAGTTCTTAGGTGAAACTCCGTTCCTGGAATTCCTAGAAGAATTTGAGTTCCCCGAAGATCTTGTACGTGAGGATTCCACGCCTGACGTGGAATTCCTCCGTCAAGTCTCCCATTCCCCTACCTTCTCCACGTCCAGCGTGGAATTCCTACAAGAAATTCTCCCTTCCCGGCCTCCTAGCGGTAACAGTTCTCCTGTGGAGTTCTTGGGAGAACTCCTTCCCCTCTCACCCATAGATAATCCCTTCTCGAATATCCCTTCATCTTCGCCCACAAGCGTGGAATTTCTAATTGAAACCATAACTCTGTAAAATCTATATATATATTATTAGTTTATATAAAAATCAAATATATATATATCTTCTCATGTACATATAAATAAAGTTTAAATAGCAAAAAACTACCAATCAATAAAAACCTCCCATTTCATTCCCTAGTAATTTTAAGATTGCACAGGGTCCGTCCCCGGGTAAAGAGATTAAATTCTCTGACCCAAAAGAGGACCCACGGGCGTGTAGGAGCTCGAAGGGCGTCATAGCGAGCTTTGGCTCACTGACCCACTTCGAGCCCTTTAATAGATACGCCCGACTCTCGACGCGCATCTGTTCGAGCGCGGCGAGAGAAAACAGTGTTCTCTGTGCGGCGTCCTTCCACATAGTCAGTCCCGATAAAAAGGGACTTGAGATAGTGGACGCCCAGCGGAGAACACGACGTAACACATTTTTCTGTTCATTTTGCGATAAATCGTATAGTCTATCGACTATTGGTTTGGCACGTATATATAGCCACACAGAATCCAAAATGCCTAGAGAAAATAGTAATGTAAAAGCAACCAAATCGAATGAAGACTTGAATACGCAAAATGAAGAACTTTTGTCATTTGATGAGCGTAAGAAAGCTGCAGAAATTCGATGTGCTGCATTAATTGCAGAAACAAATACGCCTCATCAAAATGCAACAAAATTTCTCAATTTTTTCCAAAAACTAGGAGATGATCCGAAAGTTCTAAAAAGCATGACAATGAGTAGAACAAAATGTAAAAATATTATATCCAATGTTTTGGGTCCAATAGAAACGGATCGTGTTACTAGTAACATTCAGAATACTAAATTTTCGATTTTTATTGACGAAACTTCGGATATAACAAATGTTAAATGGATGATATTTTATGTTCGCTACGTTAATTGTGAAACTTTAGATGTTGATACCAAATTAGTAAAATTAATTGATGTAAATGCAAGAGATTGTAGTGCAGAACAATTATTCAATGCATTTAAATCTGAAATGCATAAATTGCAGATCCCATTTTTAAATATCGTTGCCCTGTCATGCGATAATGCATCTGTCTTGATAAGGAAACGTTTATCTTTTAAAAAAAAGTTGGAAGAAAATTGTAAACATTTACTAACATTTTCATGTCCTTGCCATTCAACTGCGCTAGCCGCGCATGCTGCATGCGCAAAAATACCGGACTATTGCGAAGAATTTCTAAGAAAAATTGGGACTTATATTAACAGTAGTCCAAAGCGTTCATCTATTTTCAAAGAATTTTGTGAGTGTTTCCAAGATAAACATTTCAAAATTTTAAAATTTTGCGAAACTCGGTGGCTTTCACGTTATACTTGCATTGAAAGAATTCTTTATTCATGGAACACCATAACTTATTTTCTTAATGAAATGGTTGTCAGTGAAAAAACAAAATCTGGAGAACATTTATTATCTATAATTAACAATGTAGACACTAAAGCATATTTTTTATTTTTAAAATATGTTTTGAACTTTTTCAACGCATTTAATACTTTCTTTCAAGCTCACGAAACAAGAATACATGTGTTGCACTCTAAATCTGTTAATCTTCTCATTCAATTTTCTAAAAACTTTTTAAAATCTGAAATATTAAAACATTTATTAACAAATGTCAAATTTACTGAAGAAGAAAATCATAAACCAATTAAAGATATTAATTTAGGCTCAGAATGCGAGGAATATCTTCATGACTTAGTTGAACAAGGACATGCAGATGTAATTCCAAATATTCGACAAAACTGTTTCCAATTTTATATAACTGCTGCTGAAGAAGTTAAAAAAAGATTACCAGTTAATAATATATTTTTATCTAAATTACAAGTTTTACAACCATGTGTAGCTTTACTTGATAGTAACAGACAGATATCTTTCAGTAACGTTTCTCTTATCGCAGAAACTTTAGGTGGTTTTGATGAAAATGATTTACAAGAAGAATGGCTTGCATTATATCACGATTTTACTATTGAGGAAAAATTAAACCTTTCTAATTTCAATTTTGATAATATGTGGAAAGAAATTTTGAAACATAAGTCTGATGACAACCCAAATAGCACAAAAACATTCCATTAACATTCTAAGAATATACGCCAAGAACATTCGAAGATTCCAGGAATCTTCTAATAGTCGTTTTATACGTTCGAGGCATATTTATAGAATGTACCAACGGAGCACTTCAAAAGTTCTAGAAACATCTCTAGAATGTTCATCTGAATGTGTTACGAATGTACACGAATGTACTGCAAATATTCTAGTAATGTGCTGTAGATATTTCTATGAATGTTCCTGGAATATACAGCAAATATTCCAGTAATGTGCTGTAGATATTTCACCCAAAGAAAAGTATTCTATTTTTTAGTGGTTCCCTCTTGATTTTAGCCGGCACAAATTGGCAACCGTCACTACGCGACACGCGCGCGGGCGCGTGAGCGCCAGCTTCTGAGTATTCACCGACCGCCGCTAGGCCGCACATGGTGACGGCCAAAAACTCGGAAACAAAATTCAGTCTCGCGGGCCTCCTTTTATACCCTACGAGACTGAATTTTGCTTCCGAGTTTTTGGCCGCCACCATGCGCGGCCTAGCGGCGGTCGGTGAACTACTCAGAAGCTGGCGCACGTGCTACGATTCGTGTATCCGCGAATATCTTGCGTATCCTCTTATTTCAAGAGGCTAGTCGTATTACTGTAATGGAATTTTCTATACAGGAAATTAATCTTAATTATAACTTATGAGTCTACTCTTTTATAGATGAATATGTGTTAAAGTAAGTGAGAAATGCTTCATATAAGATTTTTTGCTTAGAGGAAATGCTTAGAGGATTTCCCTGCTTATGAATAGAATTTTTTTGGGTGCATAGCAAGCAGCACCGCTGTTTCTGGGCGCTGCTTGCTATGCACCCAATCATCATTTGAACATGCATAGCATATTCCC